ATTACTAAGTCTAACTCAATGAAATTGAAAAGTTTAGGTGTTGAACATCATAAGTTTATCATGGGATCAACTTCATAAGTGTTTAATATGTGCACCGCCTGTGACACGGTACACGTCAAGTGGGTAGTTAATCTCTTGCCAAACACGTTGTAGTATGTCTCCGGTAACATTATCCAGCGCGGAAGTGATTCTCAGCTTGTGTTCATCAATACTAACATGAAGAGTGGAGATATAGACCAGTCCCTTCATATATCCCCGTAAAAAGAAATCACTCGGGGACAGGTCCGGTGACCGCGGAGGCCATTTCATCATTTCCACCACACCCGATGTATTTCTCTGGCAGATTCTCAAATAAAATATTAAACATAAAATGTTGATCGGTTTCTATGCATTCTGGGAAAATTTGAGATTATTTCAACAAGAATTGCCAAAATTATTGGCTTGCGAAATGATGCCAAATTTTTTGGAACACCCTGTGCTTTGCTTAGCTTTTGAAAAGCACATTTCACTACTCCAATGAACTTTCGGATGTCGGTGTTATATTTTACTTAATTTTGGGATTTTCAGTTCGCAGTTTGCTTCTTGGGCTGTTCCTCTTGCTGGCGAACCATACTTTTCCTCTTGCTGACGGACCACGCTTTTCCACCTTCTGACGAACCACGTTTTTTTCCTCTTGTTGACGAACCAATTTTTTTTTTTTGCTGACGAACCGTATTTTTCTCTTGCTTACGAACCATACTTTTCCTTCTGCTGACGAACCATATTTTTCTCTTGCTAACGAACTATACTTTTCCTTTTGCTGACGAACCATATTTTTCTCTTGTTAACGAACCATACTTTTCTTTTTGCTGACGAACCATATTTTTCTCTTGCTAACGAACCATACTTTTCCTTTTGCTAACGAACCATATTTTTCTCTTGCCGACGAACTATACATTTCCTCTTGCTGACGAATCATACTTTTCCTCTTGCTGACGAACGATACTTTTCCTCTTGCTAACGAACTATCCTTTTCCTCTTGCTGACGGACCATGCTTTTCCTCTTGCTGACGAAACATGCTTTTCCTCTTGCTAACGAACCATATTTTTCTCTTGCTGATGAACGATACTTTTCCTCTTGCTAACGAAACATACTTTTCCTCTTGCTGACGAACCATACTTTTCCTCTTGCTATCGGACCATGCTTTTCCTCTTGCTAACGAACCATGCTTTTCCTCTTCTAACGAACCATGCTTTTCCTCTTGCTAACGAACCATACTTTTCCTCTTGCTAACGAACCGTGCTTTTTCTCTTGTATAATTGATCGTTAGTCGTTTTTTTCTCGCTTTGCTTTACTTGTTTCTGAGGGTGTTCAGTGCAAGCTATATCTGTGATCTGGAAAATGTTTCGCTATATTGAAAAATGTTGCCTGTAGATACAAATCTCTTTCCTTTTTTATGCCTTGGCCACTATTAAGGCAGGAACAAGTTAGCGCATAAGTTTTTTAACCTAAATACTTAAACTTTTTCATCAACATTATTAAGGGTTTAATGTCATTGTTGCAACTCTTGTAGAATACACACGATAAGACATTTTCAAATTTTTTAATGATTTTTTTAAATTCGACATTATTTCTTATCTCTATAAAATGTAATTTTAGTCGGTACACATGGATTTGTTGACATCTCTGTTGTTTTTTTATTTATTTTCTTAAATAATGAAATTAATGTCAACCGACCTGGAATCATGCCTTCTCCAGGAGGCATTAAATGTCGTTCTACAAAAAAGATGCTGAGGGTGCCATGGACCGAACGTGCGAGCAACGACGTGGTTTTACAGAAAATGGAAACAAAAAGAAAACTTACACTTAACATCAGGAAGAGGCAGTTGAAATTATACATGAGGAAGGAGAGCTTGGAGAATCTGATACTCACAAGACGTATACAGGGGAAAGCAGCGCGTAACATATTTAATGAGCTTGATTAAATGGATAATAGAACCCATTTGGGAGAAATAACAAGAAGACTGATATGTCTCGGAAAGGGATATATTTGTTCGAAGTAGCAAAGTGGTGGTTGACTACTGTAACCGGGTAGGACAATCTAGCAGGTAGCCGTAATGGACTGGTCCTCGTCGTAGTGGTAGGCAATAGGCGTCCCCCCTGTACCTCCACATCAGTCTGTATTTATGTCTGACACCAGCCAATCATATTACTGTGAGGGGGAACCCAGGTGTATGCATATTCATTACATCAAAGACAAAACTTATTAAGAGCTAATAGGGACAGGAAAGCCATGATCCCCTACGCTCTGGAGATAAAACGGCATATAAAAGAAGAACAATTTACTCTTCTTCATCAACTATATTAAGAGTTTAATTTCATGGTTGGAACTATTGTGTTATACATACGATAAGAAATTTCCAAATTTTGAGATGGATTTTTTTTTTAATCCGACTTTATCCCTTATCGTTATAAAAGTTATCCTTGGAAAATCTCATTAGCCGCATCAAGTCATTCTCTCTTCTCATTTCCTTGATCACTATCTGCGAATTGTCTTGAATCGTCCAATGCCACAAAAAAAAAAAAAAAAAGAAAGACATCCCGTCAGCAGCTCCATGTAAATCGGGGCTTCCACTCGCTTCATCACCATCGATGGAGTTTAACAAATTTTCTAAGAAGGCCTTTGAAGGAAAATCTGTTTTCATGGATATACACTTCAGGTTAAACTGTTTTATTTGTCAACTGTAGAACTAAAAAAACAATTTATCCAAGAACATACAATAATTCACTGCCTTTATTTCGATACCATCATCAATTTGAGTAGGACATATAATTTTAATTCCAGTTTTAACCTTTATTCTAAATCATTTCGGCTGACGATTTCCATAAACGACCCAACTACTAACCGGTCCATCCAATGTAACTCCCGCTCTGTCGGCTAGGGTTTCAGAATACGCCGCCGTCTGCACTTCTGCAGAGGGGTAAGATCCACTCCCAATCAGGCGTCCTGGGTAAGACGATAAACCATATCCGACAACAAGGCCTCTGATCAGGAGGTTTTGAGGAGCCTGGAAACACCTCTTAATTGCTGGTGTTCCCAGGTCTACCCTAACTCGGGGTGGTAGCACCTGTTAGGGTCCCAGCTCTGGGCAAATAGTTAAACCCAAACTGCGGTCAAAACGCCATGAATGTGTAAAAATAGGTTTTATTACCAGCAATATATTTTTGAAGAAAATAAATATTACTAGCAATATATTTTTGAGGAAAAAATATTACCAGCAATACATTTTTAAGAAAAAAATATTACCAGCAATACATTTTTAAGAAAAATTTATTACCAACAATACATTTTTGAAGAAAAAAATATTACCAGCAATACATTTTTGAAGGAAAAATATTAAAAAATATTACCAGCAATACATTTTTGAAGGAAGATATTAAAGCCATACATATTTGAAGGAAAAATATATTACCAGCAATACATTTAAAAAAAAAATAAATATTACCTGCAGTACATTTTTGAGGAAAAAACATTACCAGCAATACATTTTTTAAGAAAAAATATTACCAGCAACGCATTTTTGAAGGAAAAATATTATCAGCTATACATTTTTGAAAAAGAATTATTACCAGCATTAAGATTCTTGTCGGCATTACATAACTGATTGGGGTTGATACACCGTAAAATAAGCCAAACAAATCAAACCAATATAGCTCTACATTCATCGCTAAAAATTACTGTTCAGAAATCATTGTTTGTTTCTTTTCTTCTTTCTTTTTTAATTTCTTTCTTACTTTGGTTCTTTCCTTCTTTATTTCTTTGTTTTTACTTTCTTTCTTTTTTACTTTCTTTCCTTCTTTCTTTCATTCTTTTTACTTTCTTCCTTTCTTTCTTTCTTTCTTTCTTTCTTTCTTTCTTTCTTTCTTTCTTCGCACAACGCAATGGGTATCATTGCTCCCACCATCTTCATCACCACTGATGCATTGTCTTAAATCATCATCCGAATTGTTATCAACACGAGAATTTCCAAAAACGAAACATTTTCGGTTGTTTCTGGTGAATCACCGAAATCATCCAAACACGTCATATCTCCCACCCAGCAACGTCTTTCCTCACAGAGGGAAACACTCAATTGGAAACACACTTATTATTTATGCCTACCAAACTATCTTATATCTGCCAGCATGGATTAAGATATCAATTTCTCCCTGGACGTTTTATTTTTTTTTCTTTAATATTTTTTTCATTGTATAAATTAGCCTTAAGTTTTTGCTCTCGTTTAGAAAGGAGTTTATTTTGATCGTGTGCCACATGAGGACGGTAGGTAAAAGTCCTGTTGAAATATGCTGATGTGAAATTGAAACTGCCACACATGAACCGGATCAAGTTCCAGATTCCAATTAAAATGGTACCGTCCTTTTTCAAAAGGCGAATTGAATGAAAACTCAGATTAATTCGACATAATTGCAAATGTCAGGATTAGTGAATGTCATTTGCCCTTCACAGTCGAGTAATGGTTAAACCCAACCAGCTTTGCAGACAGTCTCCACTATGCTGAGTTCGATCCTTGTTGGGTGTTTTATCACCATGGCCTTGTGTCAGATTATGTTAATCTACGTCTGTGATTATAGCTCTCCACAGCTTCCAATCCTTGTTAGGTCGGATACTTGCTGTTTACTTCGATATATCCTGTGGGTGTTAAATTCTCCAAGCCTTTTTCCAAGTAGAGAGCCATAATCGGAAATATCAGTGAGTGTCGATGTGGGTTTCTTGAGTGATTTAATTGATGGTGTGTTTTAGACCAAACAATTATGGGGAAAAATTGTTCGTATTAATTCTACTGTTTTTCTATCTTTCTTTCTTTTTTTTACTTTCTTTCCTTCTGTCTTACTTTCTTTTTTACTTTCTTTCCTTCTTTCTTATTTTCGCTCTCTTTTACTTTCTTTCTTCCTTACTTTATTTCCTTCTTTATTACTTTCTTTTTTACTTTATTTCTTTCTTACTTTGGTTCTTTTCTTCTTTCTTTATTTCTTTCTTTTTTACTTTCTTTCTTTCTTTCTTTCTTTTCTTACTTTTTTTACTTTCTTTCTTTCTTATTTGGTTCTTTTTTCTTCTTTTTTTCTTTTTACTTTCTTTCTTTCTTCTTTGGTTTTTTTCTTTCTTTTTTCTTTCTTTTTTTTTCTTTCTTTCTTTCTTTGGTTCTTTTCTTCTTTCTTTCTTTCTTTCTTTTTTCTTTTCTTTTTTTCTTTTTCTTTCTTTTTTCTTTGGTTTTACTTTCTTTTTTCTTCTTTCTTTCTTTTTCTTTCTTTTTTTTTTTTTTCTTTCTTTCTTACTTTGGTTCTTTTCTTTTTCTTTCTTTCTTTTTTTTTCTTTCTTTCTTTTCTTCTTTCTTTCTTTCTTTTTTACTTTCTTTCTTTCTTACTTTCTTTCTTTTCTTCTTTCTTTCTTTCTTTCTTTTTTACTTTCTTTCTTTCTTACTTTGGTTCTTTTCTTCTTTCTTTATTTTTTACTTTCTTTCTTTCTTTCTTTTTTACTTTCTTTCTTTCTTACTTTGGTTCTTTTCTTCTTTCTTTCTTTCTTTCTTTTTTTTTTACTTTCTTTCTTTCTTACTTTGGTTCTTTTCTTCTTTCTTTATTTCTTTTTTACTTTCTTTCTTTTTTACTGTCTTTCTTTCTTTCTTTCTTTCTTTTTTACTTTCTTTCTTTCTTACTTTGGTTCTTTTCTTTTTTTCTTTTTTACTTTCTTTTTTCTTTTTTTTCTTTTCTTTCTTTCTTTTTTACTTTGGTTTCTTTTTCTTTTCTTTTTTCTTTTTTTTTTCTTTTTTACTTTTTTCTTTCTTTTTGGTTCTTTTCTTCTTTCTTTCTTTTTTTTACTTTCTTTCTTTCTTTTTTGGTTCTTTCTTTCTTTTATTTTTTACTTTCTTTCTTTCTTTTTTCTCTTTCTTTCTTTCTTTCTTTTTTTCTTTTTCTTTTCTTTCTTTCTTTTTTGCTTTCTTTCTTTCTTACTTTGGTTCTTTTCTTTTTACTTTCTTTCTTTTTGGTTCTTTCTTTTTTTCTTTCTTTCTTTTCTTTTCTTACTTTGGTTCTTTTCTTTCTTTTCTTTCTTTTTTTTCTTTCTTTCTTTCTTTCTTTTTTTTCTTTTTACTTTCTTTCTTTCTTTTCTTTTTCTTTGGTTCTTTTCTTCTTTCTTTCTTTTCTTTCTTACTTTTGGTTCTTTTCTTCTTTCTTTTTTTCTTTTTTGCTTTTCTTTCTTTCTTTTCTTCTTTCTTTCTTTTGGTTCTTTTCTTCTTTCTTTATTTCTTTTTTCTTTCTTTCTTTTTCTTTTACTGTCTTTTCTTTCTTTCTTTCTTTTCTTTCTTTTTTTCTTTCTTTCTTTCTTTCTTTCTTACTTTTGGTTCTTTTCTTTCTTTCTTTTTTTTTTCTTTCTTTTTACTTTTTCTTTCTTTTTTTTCTTTCTTTTTTACTTTGGTTCTTTTCTTCTTTCTTTTATTTCTTTCTTTCTTTTTTACTTTTCTTTCTTTCTTACTTTGGTTCTTTTCTTTTTCTTTATTTCTTTCTTTTTCTTTTTTTTTACTTTTTTTCTTTTTCTTTTTTCTTTTTTTACTTTCTTTCTTTTTTACTGTCTTTCTTTCTTTTCTTCTTTCTACAAATTAAGTTACGTGATAGCCTTAGGAAGAGTTGTGGGCTGAACACAGATTTGTTGGTTGTTGAAGAATTTTTCGAGATTTTTTTTTGTTATGTGTTTCTCAGGCCGTGAGAACGTATCATATATCAACCCTATATATATATATATATATATATATATATATATATATATATATATATATATATATATATATATATATATATATATATATATATATATCGTCTTCAACATCTTTAAGTTTGAAAACTTGAATCATTCTTTTTTTTAAATTCTTTTCTTTCTTTTTCAAACACTCAATGTGTTTTCTTTAAGTCTTCTACCGAAAATATAGACAATAACATTTTTGCCCGAATTTCATAGGCAATGTTGCTCACGGCCATATCACGTCGAAACCCCCGTTTCCCGTACGATCACCGAAGTTAAGCAACGTCGGGTCTGGTCAGTACCTAAATGAGTGACCGCTTTGAAATGCCAGATGCTGTCAGTTTGGATGCATTGGTGGAGTAATGAGTCAGAATTCTTAATCGCTGAGCCGAGTTCCACTTCCCGCTGGGGCCGTTATATTCGCCTATGCACAAACACTCTTGGGAAGGGTATGATTCTGCTTCTTCTACCCGAGATATTGATTAATTAATAAGCTGGAGGTTTCTGTCTTTCATTGATTTGCCCTAAGAATTTATATTGAGGTATATATGATGATGATGCAACAATTTACTCTTGTATTAATTGTAAGTCTAATCGGTTCTATAAGGTCAAATTCTCAGCTGATGATTTATCTACAATCTGTTGTTAATTGAGGCAAGAAATGACTTGCTAATTTTAACACCTCCAAAACGAAATCGCAATCTTTTAATCGAGTGATTAAAAGCCTCTT